ACCCCAAACCTTCCCCCCCCCCCCCCATGCACACATTAATGTAGAAAGTAAAAAGTATATATAGACAGATCTCTTACAGAGGATACAGGTTTGATTCCCAGCTCCTGTTCCAGGGGATCCAACACTGTCCTCTGGCCTCCATGACACTGTTAGACAGGCACGCATGCAGGCAAACCACCACCACCCCCCCCACATACACACACACATCAAAATAAATCATACACACATTGCAAAAAAATCCCCAGTTTGTTCTTGGCTGTGACAGTTTCGTGCTTTCTAATTTCTGATGAAAATGGTGCCAGTTAGAGATTTTTAAATGATCTCATTTGATGCTTTCCTTGATAATTTTCTCAAGGTTGGGTAGTGCCTTGAGGAAGAGACTGACTGCATAAGGGGAAGCATTGGCCTCGTCCATCATATACCACCAGCAGGTGGTGCTGTGACTGTGTGACTTGTTCTGCCCAGACTCACATGACTGGATCCCATGGCTGTGCACCTCATGCACACAGATGGACCCCCTTTGCATCCCGGGAGCTTGTATCTCCTTGATGAAGTGCCCAAATAATGTTCTTCAAACTTGCAGCCTTCTGTTTGCAGCTGTCCAGCCAGGGCCTTGTAAGCCTGTGGAGCAGACCCCATTTCCAGGTGGAGACTCATTGACTGTTGTTGGCCTCTCTCAGAGACTACCGTCCCATTCCTGAGCTTGATGTCTACGAGGCAGAGGGATTGGCCCTGGATGATGAGGACGTGGAGGAGCTGACAGCCAGTCAGAGGGAGGCAGCCGAGCGGGCCATGAGGCAGAGAGACCGAGAGGCTGGCAGAGGCCTGGGCCGCATGCGCCGGGGGCTGCTGTATGGTATGTCTGGTGGGCATCTCAATCAAAGGGGCCACTTGGACCTCTAGAACCTCAGGAAGTGGGGAAGGCCTGGGTGGCAAGTGTTGTGGAGAGGATGCTGGGAGAAGCTTGCTTACAGGGGGGGTCTTGCTACTCAAGACAGTGACGAGGAAGATGAGGAGCGGCCTGCCCGTAAGCGCCGACAGGTAGAGCGCGCCACAGAGGACGGAGAGGAGGATGAAGAGATGATTGAGAGCATTGAGAACCTGGAGGATCTAAAGGGACACTCAGTTCGCGAGTGGGTGAGCATGGCGGGACCCAGGCTGGAGATCCATCATCGCTTCAAGAACTTCCTGCGCACGCACGTGGACAGCCACGGCCACAATGTCTTCAAGGAACGCATCAGTGATATGTGCAAAGGTGTGTTCCTAATAGGCTGGGGTGGAGCGCAAAGGTACAACCCTGGTCTTGAGTGAGGTCCTGGGCTCAGTCTCAGCACTGAGGGGTGATGTGGCCTGTGACCTGTATCCAGCCATCAAGGCTGCCCCTGCTGGCAAACTGAACACATTGTGCACAGGAACATTTTGTGACAGGGACAGAACCAGAGGCATCCTTTCAGAGGAACCCAGGGTTTCCCACATCTGCACCAGAGCTGGGCTGTTTGGGGACATGCTTAAAAATGTACTCGTACCCTGTGGGGTTTTCTCGTTTGTTTTGTTTTGGCAGTGTCGGGTTGAACCCAGGGCCGAGCACATTCTAAGCATGTGCTCTGCCACTGAGCTACTCCCCAACCTCTGCATTACAACTTTGATGCAAAAGTGGTCGCATTTCTATGTGACAACAACATTTGCTCTAAAGAGTATGACAGTGTGGGGCTATGGTAGCCCCTCCAGAAATGGCTATAGGTTTTTTCCCATGGCCTGCCTATTCCTCCTGGATATGACATCCCCAGAGATATACATGTTGTTAATATGTCCCTTGGCTCTCTTTTGCCCGGCCACAAGCATTGGGCCTATGGTGCAAGCTGGACTTTCTGGTCTACTCGGGTATAGTTTGGGTGGAGATCTTTGGCCATCAGGGTTCTGAGACATTAGCTACCTTCATGGCCCCAGGCTATGTCGTCAATCACACCCACCATCTCCCTCAGAGAACCGAGAGAGCTTGGTGGTGAACTATGAAGACCTGGCAGCCCGGGAACATGTGTTGGCATACTTCCTACCTGAGGCACCAGCTGAGCTGCTGCAGATCTTTGATGAGGCTGCCCTGGAGGTGGTGCTAGCCATGTACCCCAAATACGACCGCATCACCAACCACATTCATGTGCGCATTTCCCACCTGCCTCTGGTGGAGGAGTTGCGTTCACTGAGGTAAGCAGGGGTGTTGGAGAATTGTCGGTACAGCCAATCCACTGTGCCAATAAAGCAACCTTGAATCAAAGGACAGAGTCAGCAGTTGGCTGACCCGGATTAGCCATAAAGTTCTTGGAGGATTTAGCAAGGCGGCTAGGGAAAACGGGAAGAAATTACAGGGAATTTCTGGGGCTGGTGGTTTGGGGAAGATGTGGAGAGAAGGTCAGCCTGTTGTTCTGCTTTCCTTGGATTTTTCAAGTCTTTAATCTCCATATCTGACTCCCAAGTTTTTATTACAGTGGAATAAATTAAGTAAACGTTTCATCTGGCACCCCTACTTTCTCATTTGGGACTGCCAGCTCAAAAAATGACAAGGAGACTTTTATTAATTATGAAAGCTTGGCCTTAGCTTAGGCTTGTTTCTAACTAGC